ATAAAATTTTGAGTAAATTTTTGAGAGCAGCCATTTTTTCCAGGAGAAGTAGTTGATTGCAGTTAATCACTCAAGAGACTTTCTAGGTATTTTAAGCATGTATGCTAATCCTAAAGTTTATTTAATTTTTTTCTATTGAGAGTAGTTAGATTTTTAAAAAAGTTTTCACTATTCTTTCAAGGTAAAAAAGGTTTAGGAGAGCTTAGTCATTAGGAAAGAGAAAGAAAGAAATATTTAAGCCTGGTTATTTTATGCCTTTAAATTTGACATAGTTGAGTTTTAAAATTATTCTCATGAGGAAAAAATTTATCATGCTTTTAAATATTTTAAATATTTATAGTTCATTTAGCACTTTATCTGCATTAAGATACTTAAGAATCTTACTCAGCAATTTATGTTCTTATTGTTTACAGCAGAACTATTCACTGGCTGAACTTGATGAGAAAATTAGTGCCCTCAAACAAGCCCTCCTCAGAAAATCAAGAGAAGCAGACTCCATGGCAACTCACCACCTTCCATGAAAAACTCTCATCCTTGTCATTTTACTTTTTTATATAAATGTGTGTTATATTAATTGCACTGTAATTAATTAAACAGATATCTATTTATCAATATAGACTTCTCTGTGAAGTCAAGGTTTATTTTCACATGACTCTGGCTTGCAGAAAGTGATCTTCACATACTCTAGTGAGTTTTGGAATAATGAATGCGGTGAAAATAGTATTGTTGGAATTTATTCTCTTCTGTTTTAAAGGAGGTATTTGGAAATTGAAATACAGATTTCATCTTTTTCCTTTTGTGGACCACAGAAAGGAAGATTTATTTTGATAGTGATATTTAAAAGGACTTTATAATATTGGTGTTAACCAGTTTATGAGTTTAAAGCAGTACTTTGCATATAATAGGTATTAAACAAAAATTTGTTGACTGAAATGAATTCTAAGTACATGTGTAAAATTTATTTTTTCAGATGTGTTAATGTAAATAAACAATAGATCCTACTTTATCTCTTTATTGGCTCTGTTGCTTAACTCTCTTTGTACCTTAATTTTCTAGTCTGTGAAATGGAAATGATAATAATAGAACCTACTTCATTAATTGTTATGAATAATAGGTGAGATCCTGCATGTTTGAAACTATCCCAAGGGAATTGCACAGTAAATGTTACCTATTACTATTGTAAAACCAAGTCTGTCTTTGGACAGCACTTAAGATGTTGTTACAAAGAAATTATAGTGCCTCTCCCTTGAGAGCCTCACTTTTACAATACCCCAGTTATGTCAGGCAGTACATACGTTGCCATAATTGCAAATTAAACATTTAAAAGATGCAGCTACGGTTAGGTTGAAAGTCTTCCATGGAGCAGCTGCTTAGGTCAAGAATTGTTTGGTTGCAAGAATCAGAAATGTACCTAAAATAGCTTGTAAGAAAAGAGCCATTAAAATGAATCAGAAATCAGGAACTTACTTGCAGGAAGCATAGCGCAACATTGTAGGATCTAGAAAGTCACCAGCAATTACTCTAGATGTGTCTGACTGGCCTTTTCTCTCTCTATCCAGTTCTGTCTCTGTCCCCTATTCCTTGCTTTCTGCTCTCCTGTCTCTCTCTCCCATGTTTTTCTCCTATACATAATCATCTGTGCATCTATTGTATTGTCTTTCTGTGGACTGGTTTCTCAGAAGGATTCTTCATTCCTGCTTCCCCACATGCGATGTCAGGTTAGTCCTATCTCTATAGCCTCAGCTTGTTTATTATGCCTTTGAGCTGCTATGGGGCAAATTCTGAACCCAACTCTGGAACTTCACAACTCCAGTGACTGCTTCTTACCTCAGTCTCTTAGTTCAGATTCTTCAGAGATTAAATCTGACTCCATGTCATCAGGTAGCTCAATCAGCTGTGTTCAGGATGATGGTTCAGGACCTCTTCACAGGAATATGCAGTATACATACAACCTTGTACAACCGTTTGGCAGCCTTGAAATTGTGGTCACCTGGTAAAAAGTGGAGGCTTTGGAACCATTCCCAAGAAGATGTAGGCTAGGTTGATTTCTACTAATGTCTTACCACTATATTTCATCTCTGCAGAGCAAACTTATCCTTCAAGATATTCTAGCCTGTCATGATCCAGTATTATAGGTACAGCAACAGATGCCTGCTCCCCAGTCTCCATGTGATCACCACCCTGCCAGAATGACATCCTCCAGGTTTAGTAACACATTTTACTATCAGCACACTAGCAATACAGCAGGGACAGCAATAAAAATTATCAATTAGAAAAGGAGGTTTGCCTTAGAGATGAGGAAGAAACTTAGAAAATATCATATACTGGTTACTGGTCCAGACCAATAAATACCGTGAATCAGTTTGATGCCTGCCTTGGTAATAGAACACGATCCTAAGTCATGTCTGACAGCCCTAGGATCTGCCCATTAGAAGGACTTCCTTTTTCCTTGTCCCTCAGGCCTGCTCTTCTGAGGGACGTAGGCCAGGAGTCCTCTTTCCACTTCAGTAATTATTGTCTGGTGCCAGCATCCTTTTCTGTTTCAGTCTGGAGCCTGTAGAAGAGGCAGGACCCACCCCATGTTGGTATATGAGTTGGTATAGGTACGTGTTCAAGACTAAGGTTCTTCTGGTGCTAACTACCCTGGAACTTTAGTGGGCTTTCAATCATTGTCTTTCTTGAGTGTGTCTTTGACTGAAGGGTGACTGCAGGAATTTCTGTGGGGTAAATTTGCTCCCTTAATCACCAGGCTGCCTAATGACCATTCCTTCAAGATTTTTATTTGGCTCTCCTTATCCCCATTATTTCTTCCTAATGGTCTTGTCTTCACGAGTCAAGGAGGACAAGTGTTTAGAAAGAGGCTTGCTGGCAGGGACTGGAAAGCACCTATTCCCTAGTCTGCCCCCACAAACCTCTCCCCTCTGCAGGTTACGTTCCTATCTGTGAAAGTGTTTTACAAGGGGTTGGGGTGGGCGGGGCTGGGCATCAACGTGTCTATCCTGTGGGAAGGGTTGGGCTTCCCAAACTAGTCTGTCTGCTGTTGAATATTTTCACTTCAATTGCTAGGCTCCTGAGCTTTTTCAAACTCATGAGTAATAAATATCTGGACCTGGTCTTCAGTAATCTCAGCAGAAAAGATTTCCCTTTATGAAACACAGAAGTTCCCTGCTTTCCTCTATTTGTTTTAGCCAAACAACCTGAATGTGTGGTTTGGGTCCCAAGGGATTTTTGGTAATTGTTTAGCTATTTTGTCATTACTTACCTCCAAAATACCAGTTTTTCATAGAACAGGGACTTGTCTCTGTCTACCTCCCCCCATGTTTATTTCTATCCCTCTTTGCCTCATCCACATTAGTTTTACATTTTCACCCAGGATCTGTGATTTGGGCAATCCCATTCCTGGCACTAATTTCTGTTTTTGAGACTTGTTGTTTTGAAGAAACAGGAACCCAGTTCCAAAACAAAGAGGTATTATAAAGAATGTGAAGAATCCAAATTGCAGGAAGTTTAGCCAGGTTTTATCACCCTTTATCCATCACTGGGGCACACTGTCTGGATTCTACACATCTGTTTCATTCCCCTTGGCTTCTCTGAAGATGTCTTCCTTCCTGCTTCCCTATAATTTAGGCTTGCTCAAGGCTTCAGGCAGGATCCGTGGTGCTGCTAGTTCAGACCTACCTTTTTGGCACCAGTACCCCGTTTGTTTCTTATGGTGCAAAATCTGGAAAAAGAGGAATTCATATTCTTAACTTGGGTCAACTCTCCACAATTACCTGTGGCTTGAGTGGTAGGATCTCCAAGAACAAAAACAACCACATGCACCTACCCAGCCCTTTAGGAAATGAAAGACACTTCCAACAAAGCGTGGGCTGGGAATCCTGACCCTAGACTGGTGGACATACTGCTGGCCTTTATAAAGTGTTCAGTTCCTTAAGAAATACTTTATTTTTTTCCAGTATCTTTTTTTTTTTTTTTTTTTTGAGACAGAGTCTCACTTTGTTGCCCGGGCTAGAGTGAGTGCTGTGGCATCATCCTAGCTCACAGCAACCTCAGACTCCTGGGCTCAAGCAATCCTTCTGCCTCAAGCCTCCCGAGTAGCTGTGACTACAGGCATGCGCCACGATGCCCGGCTAATTTTTTCTATATATATATATTTTTAGTTGTCCAGATCATTTCTTTCTATTCTTTAGTAGAGACGGGGTCTCGCTCTTGCTCAGGCTGGTCTCAAACTGCCGACCTTGAGTGATCCACCCACCTCGGCCTCCCAGAGTGCTAGGATTACAGGCGTGAGCCACCGCGCCCGGCCTTTTTCCAGTATCTTTAATTGAAAATGTTTTATGTTCCCAGAGATAGCCTCCAGGTCCATTGGAAAAAATTTTAGCTTGGTGTTTCTTTTTTGAGCAGTTCTAACTATAAGAATTGATATTTCATGACTTTTATTCTTTCTTAGAAATCCTTCAAATGACAAAGAGAAAATTTTCTTTTTAAAAATAGAATATAACTCATATCTTGAAATTCCTATATGGGTCCTTTGGACTCTTATAATATAAATCTGAGATATATTATGGACTTTCAGTGATTTAACTTTTCCTGTATCTTTTGAAACACTTTGTTATTTCATTATCCCAAGAATTATTTAATCATTACTAGTCAATTATTCCCAACTATGCTAAAAAAAAGACTAAAATAATAAGGAAACGGAATAATGATGAATCACCTAAAAGGATAATGTATTAGGAAAATAAATGGTCACTATCATGGCATGCTTCAGTTTTTACATAGCACTTCCCAAAGTATTGCATCATCTATAAAGAAGATATGAAAGTCTGGAGAGATATCATCTTTAGTGTCTTTTTTTTAAGCTTTTAATAAATACAGTTGGGAATTCAAATTTTTCATTTTTTTCCCATAATGGCAAGGCAGAAGAAAACAGGAATTTTCACAATTATTAAAGGGGTCAAGGTAAATGCAAACAGAGGGCAGTACCCTAGACCCTAATAGTGCTGATGAAACTGATCATATAAGCAAAATCTCAGGCCTTGAGTCTAAAGATGCATATTCTAAATGAGCTTTTTCATACTCAAGAATGGGTGAGTAAACCAAATATTTCTAAGGGCAACAAGGACATACAATATTCCCATGGAGGTACTCAACAGGAAAAGTTTAATCATGCTTTTCAAAAGCTTAATATTTTGTGACAAGGGCCTCGACCACCTAATTTTGCTAAATGGATGTGACAGTATTCTTTCATCTTTTATGATGTTTATCCACCAAAATTTACTTGATATAGTTTCCAAGTTGAAAAATGTTAAAGATAGCTATGTGCACAAAGGTGATTGAAAGGAATTAAATGATGTAAAAATGAAAAAATTATTGGACTGATCATTCTAATAGGTGCTTATAAATCTAAAAATGAAAATGTTCTTCAATAATAGCCATCCACCCACAAAATTATGTCATCAAAGTTTTAAAAAATGTTGCATTTTGGCAATACCAAGTATGAGAAGAACCAGAAATAATGGTAAACTAGAACCTAATAGAAATGTATTTGAAATCTGAATTCACTATTCACAAGATGGATATGTTCCAGGTCCATTCATGGCAGGTGGAGAGCAGTTAGTTACATTCAACTGACATTGCCGATTTCAGTATATACCTTCAAAACCAAGAAAAGATGAAATTAAAATTGTTTTTACTATGCTTAAATTCTTACTAAAAATTCTAATAAAGTTTTTTAAACTATCCCTTTACACTTCTGTAAATTATTCATAAAGTGAC